GGGTCAGTGTAGTACATCTCTAGGGGTATCTGTGGGGGTCAGTGTAGTACATCTCTAGGGGTGATGAACTCAAGATGTGAATAAAGTGTCGGGAGGGGTTAGAGCTGTAGAAGGTGGGACCCGGTTGGGGGAAATCAGTGCTTGGGGGGGTGCCCTGGGGCTCTGCCTGCCCTGGTCCTTCATGTTACTGCCCTGCTCTGCTCCCTGTCCGCCATGCTGGGAACTCTCCCACCACACCTTCCCCTCTGTGACGGGGTGAAGCCAGGGGCCGGAATTAATGCTTTATTCTTCAAGTTATTCCTATAAGTGCTATTTTTCCACAGTTACAGACTAACCTACTTCTGAGAAGAGGATTTAGTAGACTGAGCAAAAGTAACCTCAGTTAATAAAAATTACAAATTAACAAGCAGGTTCCAGTCATCTGCTGTATCATATAAAATATCTCTGTTATGTACTGATTAACTTACATGTGTAGACATGTGCTTCTAATACTTTATAATAGAGACCATCCCTTGTGCATGTGTAGAAAAATCCTGGAAAGATACAGAAAAATGACTAAACATTCATCTCTAGAAGTTGATGGTTACAATTTCTAGGATTGAAAAACTTACTTTTCCTTTTTTCTGCTTTTTACTTTATGATTTTTTTTCTATGTGTAGAAGCTAGAATGATAAGAAACTAGTTTAAGGGGTCGGGTTGGAGCTCAGGGGGCAGAGAGCTTACCAAGGACGCATAAGGCTCTGTGCCTGATCCCCAGCATCATGAAGGGGGAGAGGATGAGGGGGGAGGGAGGGATGGAGGGGGGGTTCTGAAGTGGGTTTCATAGAAAGAAGAAAATAGGCAACAAGACCGCTCAGGTAGAGGAAGTGGGACTGTTGAGTGTTCTCACTAAAGTGGGTTGATGAGATCTGGCTGAGGCTTATTGTGGGTTGAAGGACATGTCAAGTTATCCCGTGATGAAGAGAGCCAGATGGTGGGGTGAAGGGCGAGGTTAAAGTGAACAGGACCACCTTGAAGTTTTAGGTAGATGAGAGCTTATTTTGTTAACTAAAACCGCAGAATGATTGTGAGCTCCTGTTTTATGTGTGTGCCCAAGTTGTGCAGCAGTCTGGAATAGTAATCAAAGAGAATCTCCACTAGTATGGGTTTGGCCACTGTGTTACAGACATTCTGTGGGGTTTTGTTGTCCTAAATCACTAGTAATCATAGGACTTTGGAACTAAGCACGTTTATACATGCTAGTATTCCATGCAGTAGGAAGCTGAGGCAGGAGGATTATGAGTTCAAGACCATGGGCTGCATAGCAAGGTTCTCTCTCTCTCTCTCTCTCTCTCTCTCTCTCTCTCTCTGTGTGTGTGTGTGTGTCTCCCCCTTCCTCCCTCCTTCTCTCCCTCCATCCCCTCTCTAAAAAGGAAAGAATTTTTGGCAGAGAAGTCTTAATTACCATGAAAAAATGACTCTTTTCTGGTTTTCCATGTTTTCCATTCAAATTGGTACTTTGATCAACGTGGTGATTCTTACATTAAATAAGAGATTTTTCCTAGTAACCCAGTGTTTGCAAGCACATGAACTGTCTACATGACATACTACCTACTAGGTGCTTAGGTACAATGTGTTCATCATTTTTTCCCCTTATTGTTGTGAACTTAGGTATAGACTCTTTCCTTGTGCTCTGGATCTAGTAGAAAAGCATACTTTTGCCCTTTTCCCTTTACCCGGATGGCTTTAAAATACCCTCCATTAAAAGAACACAGCGGCTGTCCACAAGCCCAGCGCCAGGCTTAGTACCATGGAGACAAATTAGCGCCTCATTAGAAAGCAGCTCCCCTCAAAGGAACGAATCCTAGCCTTATCGTTTTTTGGCCTTTGCTGAGAAAATTCTCTTAAGACTAGTGGATATTCTTATTTTTATTGAAAATCAATTTTGTTTCGGGCAATATATTCTGGTCACAATTTCTCTTCCCTCAGATCCTCCTAGATCTTCCCCACCTCCCCACCCACCCAACTCCGCCCCTTCTTTCCCTCTCTCTTCAGGAAAGAAACAGGCAAAGAACAACAATAATAATGATAACAGTGATAATAATGATAATAACAACAACAAAGAAAAAACAAAAGAAGCACAGAGACAAAACACAAAAACAAAACCCATAAAACACAAAATCGGAAGCCATAATATACAAGCAAAAGACCAGTAAGATAAAAAAAATCCCAAACAAAACAATATGAACAACAACAACAAAATCTCCAAAAATACCATTGAGTTGGTTCTGTGTTTATCATGTACCGCTGGGCATGAGGCCTTCTATTAAGTGTGATTTATACACCCAGCGAGCCTTCACTGGAGAAAACTGATTTTCCTTTGGAAGTGGTTGTCAGTTGGACATAGCTTCTGGGTTGGGGTGGGACCGCAGGTCCACTCCTCATTTGAGTGCTGGGACCCCATCTGACCTAGACCTGAGCAAACCCTGTGCATGCTGCTCTAGTCTCTGTGAGTTCATCTGCATGTCAGCCTTGTAGAGTCTGGAAGACACTGTTTCTTTGGTGCCCCGCATCTCCTCTGGCTCTTACAATCTTTCCACCTCCTCTGTACACACAGTTGCACACACACACTTCCCTGAGCCCTGAGGGGATGTATCCCACTCTGCACATTGTCTAGAGGTGGCTCTCTGTATCGATTTCCGTCTACTACAGAAGGAAGCTTCTCTGGGGATGGCTGAGTGAGCACCTTTGGGTCTAGCAGCATGTCCGTAGGAGTCATTTTAGTGCTCCATTCCTTTAGCAGAACAAGAGTATTTGGTTTTCCCCTAGGTCCATGGCCTCTCTAGTCTCAGGTTCTAGGCCACCTAAGTGATGTTGGGAATGGGTTCCATCTCAAGGAGTGGGCCTAAAATCCAAAGAGATAGTAATTGGTTTTTCTCACATTTGTGCCACGATTGCACAAGCATATCACACAGACAGATCCCCATTGTAGATGACAGGATTTGCAACTGGATTGCTGCTTATGTTTCTCCCCTAGTAGCATGCAGAGAACCTTCCAGTACCATGAGTACTAGTTAGGAGGGGTGGAGACTCTTGAGGCACCAGCTCAACTTCTCTGTATCCGATGAACATATTTAAGAAAGATGTAAGTGTTGTCTTCAGCCTCACAATCAGTTTGTGGAGAGCCACGAATGGTCTTGCCAATAGCCAAGCTGTTTGGGGTTTCCATGGGACCGCTTTGACCAGCAATTCAACTGGATGTAGCCCATTCCTGGCACTGGAGGTTTCACTGAATGGCAAATAATGTCTAGTTGGGGCTTTGTCTCCTCCATGATTTGGTGACTCCATTTAAATTCATTCACACATGTATATGTTTTTTTAAAGCTTTTCCTGTAGTAGGCTTTCCTATGACCCCTCAAATAGCCCTTAGTGTTAGTTGCCCCTCTCCATATTCCCTCCCTTACCCCCCTCTCCCCTCCCCTTCTCTGTTTAATCCTGTTCCAGTTTCTCCATAACTCTATATTCTATTCCTCCTTCCTTGGGAGACCTTCCCCCAGTCTCTTACTCTATTCCTAGCCTCTGTGAATATATAGATCGTAGCGTGCCTATTGAAGCTAGCAGGTATTCTTATTTGTTCCCTTGCTAATATAATTTACAACCCAATCAAACCACTCCCACATGAGCCTACATGTTTGGCTAGTGATTCCCTAATCTGTATTAGCAGATTAGTTTTCTTTTATCCAGAGGCTTGGTCTATAGTGTATGAGTGTATGCATGTGTAGTGCATGTGCATGTGTGTGTAGGGAGGCTTTGGCCTATAATGTATTAGTGTATGTGTGTATACAGCATGAGCATGTATGTGTAGAACATTTGTATATGTGTATAGAGTATGTGTATGTGTGTATAGGGCATGTGTATGTGTGTGTGTAGGGCATGTGTATGTGTGTGTAGGGCATGCATATGTGTGTGTAGAGCATGTATATGTGAAGTTCACTGAATGTGTACATTAGACATGTTTTAAAACAAAATGTGTAATGTCACTAGGAACACTGGCATTAGAGCTGGCAATTTATTCATCTAATTTTGCTTCATTGTATTTTTTTTGTTTTGATTTTCTTTCTCTGGTCTCCAGGCTGGGCAATGATGACACACACTTTGAGGTGAGCATGGCCAAGGACGGATGTGAAGTACATCGTTTCGACCCTAGCGTCAAATCAGCCCACGTTCTGGAGAGCCGGCGCCTCTGGCATCACCGCCTGGCCATTGACTGGCGGGATCCACATCCAGCTGTGGCTGCTCAGAAGCTGCATAGCAACACCAGGAAACTGGGCAGCATCCTGAATGAATTTGGGCATCACAAGGTGAGACTTCTCGTTTGAATTTCACAAATGAAGTGAGTAAACCCATCAATTAAGAAAATGAACACTGACGCTGACAGTGTTGGAAAACTGGCGGCCTGCTTTTCCAGTCTTGTGGTCACTGTATGTTTTTTTTTTTTTTTATAGAGTTGACTTGTAGACGTGATGTTTGGTGATGCTAGAGATGTTTACACTGAATGTGGGTTTTAGTTGCTCCTAAGGAATGCTAAGAATGGCCAACATGAGACAAGAGACTAAGAAGCTACTTCTGACAGAGACTTCAGCACACTACTCCTGCTTGGGAGTTTATCTAAAATTTCCAGAAAGCTAAACTCCTTATTTCAATCTTGAATGTACATAACTAGTCCTTCCTGTGTTTGTTTGGTAAGACACTGATTTTACATATGATTTCTCATGTTGCTATTTTGAGACTTTGGCTCTTAAAGTGCAGGAAATACATGTAGCTCTGAGTAAAATCTACTTTGTAAAATGAATGGACATCATGTACGTTGCAATCTATGTAATTATGCCAAAGGATGTAAAATCTATGCGAGTGCTCTGTTGTGAAGAGGAGCACAGAGGAACTCAATCCCTGAACAACGTTCCTTGAACCCAAGTTTTAGCTTCGGATACCCCAGCCAATGCATTTTCTAAGCGGATGCGAAAGGGGTGGTTCTGGGTGCAGTTGCCTTTTTTTTTTGGTCTTCCTTTCTCCTTGAGTGAGTCTGGCCTGCCCTAGCCCATGGTTCCCAACCTGAGGTGACGTGTAATTCAAAACAGGTCAGAACAGGACTCCAGCTGTAAGACAAAGTGTGGGGGACTTGAAGCTTAAACTGGCTTCTTAATCTTTAATAAAGGACTTTCCCTCTGCATTATTCCCTTTCCTCTCCTCCTGCCCCCCCCTCCTCTTTGTAAAAAAAAAAAAATCCATGTCTTAGGGTGTCAATCGCTGTGATGAAACACAATGACCAGAAACAAGTTGGGAAGGAAAGCGTTTATTTCCCCTTACAGCTTGTAGTTCATCATTCAGGGAAGTCAGGGTAGGAACTCAAGGCAGGAGCCTGTGTGGAAGTCTGTCAGAGTCCAGCTCCAACCTGTTGAAGGGTTCCTGTGGGGAGGAGAGAGGAATGAGGAAGTGTTAGATAGAAATATAGAAGGAGACAATAAGACAGAGACGCAGGATGGCTTCGGGAGGGCCCTGGGTCAATACCCAGCCTCTTTGAGATTTATTCTAATTGGCTTTTTATATACTACCAAGGGGAGAGGCAGAAGACCTCCCCCTTTCAAGAGCAAAGCACTACATACAGCCAAGTATGGACCCTTCAAAACACCTGGTACCCATACCCCTGGCCAAATCTTCCCATTATGCAGCCCTGCGGGACAAAGCAAGCTCCGATCCTCTGACCTTGAGTAAGGTTTTACTAGGGAGCCTCTGTGGGCCCCGACCAGCCTGGAGGTAGGAGCCATCGAAGCCATGGAGGGATGCTGCTTACTGGCTTGCTCCCTAGGACTTACTCAGTCTCCTTTCTTATAGAACCCAGGACCACCAGCCCAGCAGTGTCATTACCCACAGTGGGCTGTGGGCCCGCCCACAGCAAACGTCAATCAAGAAAATGTACCACAGGCTTGCCTACAGGCTGTTGTGGTGGGGACATTTTCTTCAAGAATAGCCTTAAAGAATTTATTGCTCTTCTACCATAGGATTAGCTGTTTGTACTTTGCTTCTGCCACTAAGCGTAGCCAGCACCCAACAGTTAGGGACCTTAATGCTTCCTAACTACAATATTTTGGGTGAATTCTCTGAATAGGACTTTTTTGTTTTTTTCGTGTGCTACTAAATTTTTTATAAGTGTGAGAAGTGGGGTCATTTTTCAGAATTTTATTCCAGTTTATTCTCTTGGCCACTCTTACTTTTGCGAACTACTTTTCTTTACTGATGAAAATTATAAACCAATTCCCTAATAGGTCAAGTCTGGATTATTCATAGAGTGAAAACTCTCTGTGTTCAGTAAAGAGTCTTGTTGCTTCTCTCTGTGGGTTACTTCCTGGTCCTGTCCACCCTTGCTCTCCCGAGACAAGACTGAACAGGCAAAAGAGGTTAAAGTCAATGCCCTAGAGCATTCCCCGCCCCCCCCGCCCCAGTACGTTTTAGCAAAAGATTTGAGGATAAAATGAGGCTTTGAAAAAGTGATGTGTGTACAGAATTTATCCAAGCACATTTCGTGTAGAGAGTGTTTTAGGATAATGAGGCGTAGAGCTGAATTGCAGGCATTCAGCTCTCTGGGAACTGCAGTGGGCCAACCTTTATGCTGGGAGTAGTACGGAGCAGTTTGCCCCTAGTTAGCAGAAGCATTTACAGGGATTCTTAAAGACGAGAGATGATTTAAAGGGTTGCTTTTGTTCCTAAGGTGACTTATTTTTCTTAAAAACGTTAATAACAATGAAGGCGATCTGCCTCAGGTTTGTATTTGGCGTTTAAAGGAAAATTCATGGTTGAAGAACGGAAGAGCTGATAGTCTCCTTCGCAGAGATTCTTCGGATGAGTACTTCCAAACGGAAACAACAAAAACTAAGCCACCAGTGAGTGATGGCTTCCCTTGGTAACACACTTCTGGGGCTACACGGTGCCAGATGAAAGGAAGCCTCAGTCGTGGCCTGCAGAGAGCGTGGTCTGTTTTCGTTTCTCTCTGTGTGTGTGTGCGAGTGCGCGCGCGACGTTGATAAACAGGGCAAGGCTGCGGCAAGGGAGGCAGACAGAGCGAAACACTCGGGTCCTTATCGCCACCTCTTCGTCTGTTGATTCTGAAAGTGGCGGCAGAAGCCAAACAATGCTTTGAAGACTTTAAGATGTCTCATACAGTTCTGTGATCATTTCCATGTTTGGCTGTTTTTTTTTCTTCTTCCCCTGTTCTTTTTTTCTCTGCATCCAAACCTAGTTTCTAGCCAAGCGAGAAATATGAGATCAAAATGTCGACAGTATTTGAGATAGTGACAGAAAGATGCTTATGGTTCTTGTGCGGCTGTAAAAACTCTTTGCTAATTTTAACTTCAAACTATAAATCAAAGGAAAAAAAAGCCTTTACAGAGCATCATTGCAGAAGCAGCTGCATCAGCAAAGCCGCGTGGACCAGAAGCCCTGTCTGCCAGGGAGTAATAGCACCTGGATCCAGCCTTGCTGGCAATGATTTACGGTCTAGTCCATGCTGCAGTGGTTGTTGCTGTTAACTAAGTCTATGAATTTTTCAAGAATAGTTGAAGATTAAACCCGAGGATTCTGCTTTTATTAATTTTATTGTGTAGTTTTTCCTCTCTCAAACTCTTTATCGCATATTCAGCGTTTCCTACCTGATCTAGGCTTGGAAATGATAAATTATGGTCGTTATTGTGACCAGCCAGCTAAGGGTTCTTCCGCCATGTTTGGGTGGAAAATGTGGCTGTTGAACTGCAGCTCCCATAGCGCCAGCAGCTCTGCGCTTAGGGGACGAGGAGTCTCTGCTCTTCGCATCCAGCTCTGCTTCTCCGCATCAATGAGAGGGACTCTCGTACTCCTCGGCCTTGGGCTGCCTTGGCGGGGGCTTGCAGTACTTCCGGCTCTCCATTTTCCATAGTCTTTCCCTTGCATCAACTTGTGTTTTTGCAACCTCTGCCTTCTGTGGCCCCCAGAGTCTCAGTTCTCCACAGAGACACTTCCACAGCCCTTCATAGCCTCAGTCTGCACCTGTCTCGGTTCAGGGCCATTCTCTGGAACTCATCTGCTGCCCTCTAGCTACTACTGGGGGTGCCTAAGGCTGGTAGCCCAGAGAGTTGCCGCTTTTCATGCCACCAGCTCAACCCACTCTCCATGATAAAGACCACAAGGTAAGCAATGTGACCGTTCAGAAGAGACTCTGTGAGTGCCTAGTATTACAGCATGGTAGGACGGCACAGGGGGAAGATCTGATCAGAACAGTGAGAGGCGGGTGGCTACCACAGTCTGTCACCCATGCACACAGCCGTCTACAACCACACACATCGTCACACAGCCTGTGAAGATTTTACTGGGCCTGCCATGGATGCAATCAGTGCCCAACTTGACTGAAGGTTTTAGGTGACTCCTGGAGTGCCTGTGACAGATCATCTGATGCTGTCATGGCTGAAACAACTTTTCAAGAGCTGATTCAGGGTGCCTGGAGTAGCTCTTAGTAAATTAAGTCGTTTTCAAAGCGAAAGCCATGGTTGGGGTCGTGGCCGTGAAAGCTACTGTTGGTTTATATTGTTGGAAGGAGACCTCCTCCCGGCACCTGTGACTGGACAGGAGCCTCCCTGAGCAGCCAAGTGATGGTCCAAACAGAGCTACAAGAGCTGGAAAAAACGCACCAGCAATAGCTGGCTGACTGACAGCTCCCAGGATCGCCGTGACAAAAGGGGCTGAAGCTGGAGCTGTGGCCATTCCCGTGGGGTAGTGCCAATGCCATTCCCAGTGCCACAGGATCTGAGACCCACAGAGACAGCAGAAGTGGTCCTGGACTCATCATCCGCTGGCTGGGCTCCTTAGCAACTGCTGTAGCAACAGCCAAGGTTTGACTGACAGCTGTCAGTCAAGCAGCTGATCAGCTCACCCCTGACAACTTCAGTCCTTTGGAAAGAAAACAAGCAAACAAATCAAGCTTACAACAAAGATCTAACATGAAATTTCATTCTTTGGCATCCAACAATATATAACCCCTAACTGGTGCCCCGGGGGTAGGATGGGTTCTCCCGATCTGCATCTTATTATGACCTTCAGTCTTGACCCCGCTGTGGATTGCGTGAAAACACAGATTCCTGGGTGCTTACCTCTACGAAGGCCTTAATCAAGACTTGAATCGCAAGTTAGCTTGTTAGCATTTGGCTCTGGAGAAGTCACCTCGACCTCTCTGGCACTCAGTTTGGACGTCTGTAAAAAGCAACAGCATTAATAAAGTGTGGCTTGTTTGAAGAATTAGATCTGAGAGCACCGTGTGGAAGTCTCCAGCCGGAAGCCT